AAGTAAAAAGCCTTTCTCTTGGATGCCACCAGGGGGCGATGTCTTTGGCTTTCAGCCATACAAGTCTACGGAAAAACAGCTTTGTGCCTTCAGCGCAGTGAAAACGTTTGTAGCCTCAGTCAATAAGCAACACTGCATTCAACATAAAGTCGCTCCACGTATCAGAAAGGCTGGTCAACGAGGCTCTAACGAACACACAAACCACAGTGTGTGTTTGTCAGCGTTGATGGAATCAGCTCCAAGCTTTCTGCTCGGTGAAGGGCTCAGCGCACACAGGTGAGGGCTGCGCTGCAAGCACGCCGCAGTTTGGCACGGAAGCCTCGAGATGAACTTTCACAGACTGTGGCCGTGACTCATGTTCCTGACACAGCTCGTGGTGGCGACACATTAACAGTTTCTTGAACGATCCTTCGTTCAGCTTTGGACCTCAGAGGTTTGTGCCAACAAGCTTCTCACACAGCGACTGGTCTGCTCAGTCCCAGTACAGATGTTGTCCTGGTCTGGACAGGTGGAGCGGGGACCGGTTACGTACCTGTGGTCTGTAGCTCTAAAACAAACAGCAGTGACCGTCGACCGGTGTCCTGCACTGTGCACACAACAGACTCACAGTGACTGACGGTGACGCCCAGTCTAACCACTAGTTTCTGCCCAGCAGCTCCCAGTTCACAGGTTTGTGCGTCTTTCTAGTTCCACAAACTGCGCCTGTGAGCCAGCCTGGTTTCCAGTCCGAGCCGAGCCTAGACCCGCACCGAGACCATTACCTACATGTTAGTGTACATTAGAGGAACAAACCTGAGGGCGGCCACTCACACAGCTCCACGGACTCACGAAACACGACCAACACGGATTTCGCCAGTGCCTTTCAAAATAAAAGCCACACACGCACGCCTATGTGCGTCGATTTGCTGATTATACCAACCATGTGCTGTACATGTGCAACATTTAGCTCCTGGATAATAAGCTGAAGAGAACAGCGAATTTTTACAAAGTCAACGGTCAAAAGTTTTAGATCAGCCCAGTTCTTCCAGTTATTTATTGCAATTAGTCCTTCAGGTCCAATGAAGTCTGTCCTTGGAATGAAAGGGAAGAGGTGACCTACCAGCAGTTTAAAAAAAGTTACCCCAAAGTGAAAAATAATGTACATTTCAGATTTATACAAAAAGGCTTTTTCAGGGCACGCAGCGTGGGTCAACAACTTAAAGCTGCTCTGAGCAGCCTTCCTACAGGTAATGATGGCCAAACGAAGCTTGTGTTAGAAACGGCTCATTATTCCAAGCGTTTCACCGTCCTCTGGTGACATCTGGTGGCCAGAATTATGAAGCGCAGCTTGAGTTTAAAGCGCTCTTCTTCATTAAGACTGCCCACAGAGTGGATACTGGGCCACCCTTAGGTTGCTTTCAACTGAAAGAATTATGTCTGTTTGATTAATAAAGTTTCGTTCTTTAAAAATGCGCCATGGTGTGGTCTTTCTTTGCTTGAAGTTGCTAAATACAATAATGTACAACACAGTGTGGAGTATGTGAGGCCCCGCCTCCACGTCCTTATGCAGTTCATCACTGGACAGCTGTGTTTATAAATAATATGATATTAGGCCAATTTTTGTAGACATATTTTTGACCCGGGGGTAGAACTGATTGTGAACTGCAGGGGGTATGAACTTGTAAAGTAACGACATGATGCATTTAAGGTCATCCTGTTTGGTTTTTATTTAAGCAGAGAATTGGTTCCACTGTGTGATGGCCCAGTCTGTGTCTCTGATCATGTGACTCTGGCCAAACGAATCAAGCTTCGACACAGTGCTTCTGAAGCAGTGTGTTGGTTTTTTTGACACACGCACTGAAGCGTCAGCTTCAAGCGGCCATCACTATTGTAAGGAGAGCTGTATGGCAAATAAATACTTCCTGTTCCACTACACTTGCCTTGGTCCTGTGTTTCCAGCCCTGTTACAGTCGGTCTGTCCTACAGAGAAACTGCAAAGAAAGTCAAAGTGTCAGTGAGTCCAGTTTCCTTCAGCATCAAAGGCTCAGAAACTGTGACAGGAAGACGTCTGCTGACCCAAAGACACGACTGAATCAGAGGACAAGTTTCTGAGAGGTAACAGCTGATGGCGGCTCACAGGACAGCAGCTTCAAGCAGCTTCATAGTGGTCGTAGTGAGAAAGTCTCAGTTCCAGCTGTGAAGAGAAACTTTGAGCTGCAGGTTTGACAGGACGAGTTGCAGAAAGAAAGCCAGACGTCAGAATAAGACAGAGGTTTGTCTGGGCCATGAAACACCGACACGGGACGACTGAAGACTGGAAGAAGGTTTTATGGACTGATGGATCATCACGCAGGATCTTTGTACGGCGTTGAGCAGGTAAAGGACGGTTCCACAGTGTGTGGCATCAACTGTCAAACATGCAGGAGGAAGTGTGATGGTCTGGGGCTGTTTGCTGGATCCAGGGTCGGTGACTCGTACAGAGTGAGAGGCTCCCTGAACCAAAACAGCTACCACAGCATCCTGCAGCTCCCTCTGGGCTCAGGGGTTCATCCTACAGCAAGATAATGGCCCAAAACACCAGTTCAAGCTATGCCAGAACTACCTCAGGAAAATAGAACAAGGGAGTGTGCAGCACAGTCTCCAGACTGAAACCCCATCGAGCTGGTTTGAACTGGACAGAAGAGTGAAAGCAAAGCAGCTACAAGCTCCACGTTCATGGGAACTTCTGCTACAGATTCGATTTCTACTGTAGAAAGAAGCCACGAGTCAGACGTTTAGAATACACTTTGGTCTATAAATTGATTCCATGATTTCTTCTTTAACTCCAGTTTCTTATTTGTATATGTTTTTATTTCAGAGTGCAACGAAACATTAAACGGCACAATTTTCCATAAAAGACTTTAAAACCTGGGTTGTTCTTGGCAGCGTATTTGGGCATTTATTTTGATGTGCGTTTCAGTAGAAGGACTGGATGTTACAATCCCTGATTATGCACTGCTTTAAATTGAGAAAGGTTTGAGGGACGGCTGTTATGAGGAAAGCCCAGAAACTTTGCCAGCAGCACATCGTTGTGCCTCAGCTGTCGGTCTCTTACCCAGGCTAATCTGCCATTTTTCCTTCCTTGGTTAGGTTTAGGGATCTGATCTAAATTATCGTATTAAATTTGGGACACATCATCAGTAGTGGACCTTGGATTCATCGCGTGTTTCGGCCATTATCACCAGACACCCTCATCCAAGGAGGCCCTGGAGTGTGTCTGGTTTATGTTAAATTGTTATTTCTCTCCTTTCTTCTGTTTACAGTTTATTTTCTATCTATTCACTGCAACTGAGGAACAATACTTACCTCTTTAGCATTTATGGAGCCTCACTTCTTCAAAGGGACAGAAAAGGTGATCGAGAGAAGTAAGACAAAGGGGACACGATAGGAGAGAGCAGGAAACAGTGCACTGTTTGGTGTTATGAAGCAGGTCACACAAACAGGAAGGAGCAGATTTATGGACACTTGTGTGTGAGAAGCAAGATTTTAAAGTAAGAGTAAAATCACAATCCTTGCTGTAGATTTCAGGTCAGCGCTGCCACTTTTAATACTGTTGTGACTTCTATGAGCGTTTGTGTCTTTAGCATTTTGTCAGAACGACAATTTTAACATGATCTTCAGATATCTGAAAGCAACGTGCCGTGATAAATCCACTGAATTACCCACTGTTTTTTCTTAGCTCCACTGTGGGCTGTGAGTTTCCTCAGACTGCTAAACTCCCATTGCTTGTGAGCTTCATTCAGGATGTATTTGTTCTGTTTAGGATGTGGAAGACTGACTTCTTCAGCCTGAGCCTGGTGTGATTTACCTTGATAAAAT